GGGTTGGGGGGGAGAGCCCAGGGTTGGGGCGGCAGGTGGGTGCGGCGAGGAGCCCAGGGCTGGGACTGGGGGCAGCCAAAATTTTTTTTGCTTGGGGTGGCAAAAAACCTAGAGCCGGCCCTGAAATCTACACTCAGTTTCTGGTTCTGCCACAGACTTCTTGTGTGATCCTGGGCAAGTCATGTAGCCCTACGCTCAAAACTCAGGTTGCCATGGTGATGGATCTCAGGGGTATGAAAAATCCACATCCTGGGAGTGCCGAAGCTATGCCAACCTAACCCCAAGTGTGGCCGTAGCTATGTTGACAGAAGACTGCTTCCCGTCGGTCTAGCTACTGTCGCTCAGGGAGGTGGTGTTCCTACAGTAGAGGAAAAGCCTCTTTTGTCTCAGTAGGATGTGTCTATACAACAGGGTTTTCACAGCATAGCTATGATGCTGTAGCTATGCCGCTATAATCTCTGCAGTGCAGACATGGCCTCTCTGTGCCTTAGCTCCTCCATCTGTAAAATGGGGATAATACTTACCTTCTCCCCACCCTTTGTCCAGCTTGTCCTTTTAGGTAGTAAGACAGCAACTGCCTCGTATTTTGTGTTTGTACTGTGCCTAGTACAACGGGACCTACTCTGGCTGTAGTCTGCCACCATCAGGTGGATGATGATAATTTGGGGCAACTGGCAGGTGTTTCACTTTACTTTTTTCCTTAACTTTGTAACTCAGTCTCATTGCCGCCTTCTAGTCCACTTCCTCTGTGGAATCCCGGACTACTTCCCTGTTTGTCTTACTACAGCCTGTCAGAGAGTGATGCAAGAGAAGCCACTCAGATGACCGGCCAATACATTTGCCCAGCCTCCAAACCACTGATTGAAGAGATGAAGGAAGAAGTGTCTGTTCTGGACTAGAAGTGAAGGGGACAACAGCAGCCAAACCTCTCCATAAAATATAGCATGGGGGGGTGGGTTCCGTGTGCGGCCTACAAATAAATAAGGAAGCTATTGAATCTAGTTCAAGGGTAAATGATGGGATCAGAAACTGCCAAAATAACAGTAAAGCATGTAATCAAGGGCACTGTGTGTATTGGTGTAAAATAGAGGGTGGGGTTAGTAGATGGTGCATGAATGATGGAAGCAGCTTACACAATACTTTGTTCCAAGCCGGATTCTAAACTTTAATAAAGGTTCTTCAGCAGCTGTTGTGCTTTGGCTTGTGTTTTGGTTCCTCTGGTCAAGCACCAGGAAGCAGTTGAGAATACAGCAGCAAGGCTGGTATGCATAGCACAGTGGGGATTGCTAGGTCAGGGCAAGAATTGTCCTTCCCTCTCTCCTCCATATCTATATATGTGTATGCGCACACACACACAGCTGGCATCACGCAGCATAGCTCTAGTGAAGTCAGTGGATTTAGCTCAGCTGAAGATCTGGCCCTCTTTGTTCAGCGAGAAACTCACCATTACTCTGATACCCCAATGTTAGAAAGACAGAGCAGGAGACATCACACAGACAAAGGGATCAGTGCTTTTGTTTACGCAGAAAACATCAGATGGGTGGTGGGTTTTGTGACAAAGATCTCCGTGAGAACTATACTACACTGATGGCAGCTATGTATGGATCAATTTCCAATCCATTCTGCCCTTCTGTTTACAGGGACTGGTCTTCTAGCAGTTAGAAACAGGCACTGTAGCCAACTGAAAAGCAGAAATTCATTCTTAAATACTCAAGTTTGTACATGCTGCTTATGTCACACTGCATGGTTTTGATGCTCTTTCCTGGTAAAGATCAGGTGATCTACTTCTAATGCAAAAGTACTAAATTCAACTATCATCTCTAAACATTAGGCAGCTAAAGAACATACTGTAAAGATCATTCCTTGTTGCCTACAAGACTGTTTATGATGTAGCTCATCAGAAAACTACTATTCATTTTTCTTTCAGAGACATTTACAAAGCAGTTAGTCTTACACAAACATGTGTCCTTTCCCTTAATGTAGCACTAAAGAACCATTTCCACGTCTCACAGGCCAGCTTCCTTTTATTGCAGCATGTGGGAAACCATGCTGTTATAACTTTCTATTACAAAAACATTAGAAAAATCTCAAAGGAATCTTTGGAAGAATTTTTATGTGATTAAACCACTAAAAGCAGCATGGCTAAAATTTTCAAACCTGGCTTTGACAGCACCTTGATTGGGATTTTCAGAGCAGTGTAAGTGAATTAGGTGCCCAAATCCCATTGAAATTTAGCCCTAAATGTTTAATTAAGTGCCTAAAACATGGAATTGGACTCTTCAAAGCTTGCCTATATTCAGACATAGCCTGAATTCAGCCAGAGTCCAGCAACTGTTCTAGTGTTAACCCCTAAGAGCTTGTTTTCACCAGGAAATGTAATCATGTTTAAACGTGCTTTAACAATGGAGTTAGCTGGCACAATGCTAACCTTGCCCTTGTCTGCGGTGACCAGTCAGTCAAGTCAGCACCCACCCCATCCAAAGCATGGCATTGCGCCCATTATGGTTTTCTGTTCGAAACCTCCAGGGCTCGGAGACATGCCGATGGGGTATTTAACAGTGAACTCAGCAAGGTGAATGAAAATGCCTATGTGCAGAAGTTAGTCATATCTCTCGTGGGCCTCAATCAAAGGTAAAAAATACTGGTTCTTCCCTGCTTCGTTCTGTTGTGACCTCTGAACTCCAAAGTGTAAAAAGATCAGGATGAGCCTCAAAAAAAGAGACTATAGATTGGGTCAGCACTAGTGCTGGCTACCGATGTCCGAATCAGGGCTATCCCCAAGTGCAGACAAGGCCTAACTTTAGGTCCCCAAGTTTGAACATTTTGGCCCAGGCGAAGAGCAGTGAATACAAGGCATTGTCATTCTGCACCCATTCAAAGGGAACGAGGTTACATTCCTCTTTATATGACTCTGTCTCCCACCAGAAGACAAGCTGAGTTTTGGATGATGCAGGCACCTAAGAGAGAGAGGAAAAGAAAGAAAAATGATGTAAAAATGGTGTGCTGTTATATTGCCAAGCGTAGAACAAGGATTAAGATGGAAGAAGCAAATAGCAGCTTCAGAATTGTTGTTAGATTGGAAATCACCAACAGGAGCATGTAAAGAAGCAGAGGACTCCATGCAAAACACAAGGCAAAAAAGCATGTATTACTCAACCCTCCCCACCAAAAAATAATCCTCAAGACAGAAGAATGCCCATAAGGTTTGCCAAGTGGGGTGCATATCGAGAAGAGAGTTTCAGATTAGATTTCCCACACTCCCTTCTGTATTGAAAACCCCATTATGAGAAATTGCTTTCAAACTCCACTGCAGAAATAAGAAGTGACTGTGACAGTGTACCCCATAAGGCTTTATGGGGGGGGGGTGGCTTATAAATGTATGTATGACATAGCTGGAATATGTTTTGTGCTGCCTGTGCTATGTAACGTATCTCTGTAAAGGTTATGCTTTACTGTATCTATTCATCCTATTTGTACATATATATCATTTTCTACTTGAGGTTAAGAACATGGGCTATATGCTTGCTTGGTTTCTAAGTAAGCTCTCAGAGTAGCAGCCGTGTTAGTCTGTATCCGCAAAAAGAACAGGAGTACTTGTGGCACCTTAGAGACTAACAAATTTGTTAATCTCTAAGGTGCCACAAGTACTCCTGTTCTTTTTAAGTAAGCTTTGTGAGGCATTTGGTCAGCTTCTTTAGGAAGGAATTTGCAAGGTTAAGTACCTGATCAGGAAACACTTGGGGAACAATGCACCTTGGAACGCTCCAATCCACATAAGAAGTCTTCCTGGAGACATACAAGATACCATGTGGACAATGGCTTCGGCCTGTAAAGACTGAGTCATGCAGGGACATGTGACTTGCCCAGGTGACTCCAGAACTCCATCTTGGAGCTGGACTTTGCATAGGAGTGAGGAGGGGGTCTCCACCCACAAGAGAAAGTCTATTTAAACCCATGGGAGACCCCTCCATTTTGTCTTCAGCTGGCTAAGGAAGGAGCCTCTCCACCCCCACACCAGGATACTTGAAGGAAACTGGAACAAAGGACAGTAACTACAGGGGGTGTGAGTGATTGCTGGACCCAGGTTAAAAGGAGATTAGCCTGTAAAAGGGAGCATTCTGGAACTGGTGAGGAACTTATCTGTATTTAGTTTGATTAGACATAGATTTGCGCATTTTATTTTATTTTGCTTGGTGACTTACTTTGTTCTGTCTGTTACCATTTAGAACCACTTAAATCCTATTCTTGGCATTTAATAAAACCACTTTTTCCTTATTAATTAACTCAGAGTATGTGTTAATACCTGGAGGAGCAAACAACTGTGCATATCTCTCTATCAGTGTTATAGAGGGCGAACAATTTAGGAGTTTGTAAAATGGATTTATCTGGGTTTAGACCCCATGGGGAGTTGAGCACATCTGAGTGCTAAAGACAAGCACACTTCTGTGAGCTGTTTTCAGGTAAACTTGCAGCTTTGGGACAAGTGATTCAGACCCTGGCTCTGTGTTGGAGCAGACGGGAGTGTCTGTCTCAGCAAGACAGGGAAAACAGGAGCAGAGGTAGTCTTTGCACATCAGGTGGCAGCTTCCAGGGGGTTTCTGTATTCCAACCCGTCACAGTGACAATCATTGCCGGTAAAAGACATGGTGAAATGTAATCTCCAAAAGCCAAGAGCAAAACCAAACCAAACCAAACCTGCAGGGGCGGGGGGGGGAGAAAGACTGCAGATATCCTGGTCTTTTCAGCAAGAAGAAACCACTTGTGGCTAAACTGATTATTGTTTTAGTACAGCATATAGTCTCCTTAGTCAGAGTTACAGAAGAAGGATGTTCCAGCAGTTAAGCCACTTGACTGGGACTCTGGAAACCTGGGTTCACATCACCGACTACTTGTATGACCTTGAGGAAGTCACTTAAGGGTCTGTCTTTGCTACCCAGGCTTAAGCAGCCCCACTGCAAACCCCTACCCAAGCTACCATCCCCTCACTGGTGCTGCACCCACCCACATGTGTCACTATGGTTTCTGGGGACACATCCCATAGTTCTCTGCGCTGCAGTAAACTGATCCACTCTGATTCTTCCCCAGTGAATTGTAGGAGAGAGTTTGTCCTTCTGGAACATGGGGGGATTTGTAGGAAGGCACTGGAGGACTATCAGCACTCAGGGATTTAGCCTGCATCTGCACTGCAGTGTGGACAGGTTACTAGCCAGAGGTAAAGCAGCATTCAGATTTTAGCCTAAAGCCCTAGGAAAGTCAGCCAGTTTGGGCTGAAAGCACCACTAAACTCCAGTGAGCGCCAAGTGTGTGGAAGGGAGACAGGCTAAGGGTGGCACCCAAGTAAGAGCCCAGGTTAACTCTCAGGGCATGGCTACACTTGCAGATGTAGAGCGCTTTGAGTTAAACCAGCCTTTGTAGAGTGCAGTAGGGAAAGCGCTGCAGTCTGTCCACACTGACAGCTGACAGTGCACTGGCGTGGCCATGTTAGCAGCTCTTGCAACGGCCACAGAGAGCAGTGCGGTAGCTATCCCAGCACGCAAGTGGCTGCAACGTGCTTTTCAAATGGAGGGTGGGGGGGGAAGTGGAGTGTGACAGGGAGTGTGTTGTGTGTATGTGGGGGGAGAGAGAGTGGGTTTTTGGGGGGCTGAGAGCATGTCAGCATGCTGTCTTGTAAGTTCAGACAGCAGCAGACCTCCCATTCCCCCCCGCCTCTCTCTCTCACACACACACACACAGCATTCCACAGTAATGGTTGCTTTGTCTCGGAGCAGATAAGCAGCCGACTGTCAGAAACAGAGCTTTCAAAGGGCAAATCCAAAACAATGACAAGAGTGGTCACTTAATTTAAGGGGATTATGGGACGTTTCCGGAGGCTGATCAGAGCGCAGTAATGCAACACCTCGTTCACACTGACACTGGGGCGCTCCAGCGGGAGCACATCAAACATTATTTTACTCACCGAGGTGGAGCACCAGGAGCGCTCTAGCCATGGAGTCAGAGCGCTCTACGTGCCTTGCCAGTGTGGACGGGTAGTGAGCTAGTCTGCCTGGGGGCTCCTTTAATGCGCTGTAACTCGCAAGTGTAGCCAAGTCGTAAGTGAAGACAGACCCTTAGAAGTCATTGGGAAATGAGTTCCCACCCCCCATGGAAAATTGATTAAAACAAGAAGTTTTGTTCAAAT